ATATGGTCTGGATCATCCCTCTGGTCAGCTGGTGTCAGCTGCCCCAGATGTGTCTCCTCCCAGTGTCCCCTATGCTCACAGCCTGCTCCCCAGCAAGGCTGTAGAAAGAGCAGAAAAGGCCTTGGCTCTGTGTAAGCCTGAGCAATAACAAAAACAKGTCTGTATTACCAACCCTGGTAATCTGTGTTCAGCACARGTCTAAAACACAGCCTCATCCCAGCCACTGTGAWGAAAATTAACTCTACCTCAGCCAAACACGGCGCAATGGCCAATTTATTTAGTGATATGGACAAATAATCTATTGGATTACCGAGTCTTTACTTCCGATTTTGCTTTTCATTTGTTTCTCTGACTGAACTTTTCAAAGACTTAGAAAGCCCTACTCCTAACTTCCAAACTGAATCCATCTGAAGCTAATTTATGTCTATTTTTTAATCGAGCCAATATTTTGCTTTAGCCCGTTCTTGCCCCTTCTTGGTGCTTAATTTGTTATGGTATTTGCAGTGATCTCAAATTGTTCCTCAGCTTCTGTTTTTCTGATGTAAGCAAAAAAAAAAGTTTTTTAATTCTTTCCCCATCTAAYAGTGAAGAAATGTTGCACTATCACCAGCTGGGGCTATGGGGCATCATTTGCAAAGAATGAGAAGTCTTGCATCACTTTTCACTGCTTTGAAAGGAGATTGCCTCRGGGATTAGCAGTGAATGAGCAGAGTGACCCTCTTGACAAACATACATCTCTAGTGCCAGGAATGTTTCCTGAGTATTTCAGGAACAGTGCCTCTCTTGCAAGGTCCAACAAGAAGCACGCRGCTGAGCTTTACATAAACAGCTCCTAGGTTTCGTTCAACAGCAATAATGCTGCTTTTCGAAGCCCTTGGCAGTGAAGCTGCAAAGTAGGATCTTGCAGAGGCTTTCTCACCCCTAACCTTTTCCAGCAGATTTTTCTTGTCGGGAGGGAGTGACTGGACCATCCAACTACAACAAATAGGAGATGTGAAAACATGAAAGCAACACTGCAATGAAGTGAAGTAKTAGCCAGCTGCATAGTCTCCTAGCATTAATGGTGGAACCAGTGCGTAATGAAAAAGCAAATTCACTTTTTGCATGTGCCATGAAATGAAATAATCCTTCTCAAGCTAAACAAAAATTGCAATGGCTTAAGACCTGTATAACTGAAATCAGAATCAGGCTCTCATTTTTACCAGTCATCCCTGTATTTCTCTGGTTTTCGTGTCTCAGGGCCCTCTCTTTTCCTGGGCAGTCTGTTTTTAGCCTTTTTTAAGTAAGCAAACTTTAATTAAGTAAACATTTATTTCAATCAAGTAAACAAACAAACAAAAATAGCATCTCCCAGAACTTTAGCCATTTTGTAACCACTGGAATTTGCATGGGATCTAGGAGCTGGAAGCTGCTCCTCCCACTCAAAGAACAGCTTGCTCAGCAGCAGCTGCTTTCCTTTCAAGAGATTTTGGCAGTTTCTTGGGCAAGCACCAGAGAGATTTCTGTAGTGSCAGTCATTACTGTACTGCAAGTTCGTGTCATCCAAGGGATACAGACATTTCTCCCCGGGCAGCAGGGAGTTAACTTGCCTCCTGTTCCCTGCCTTGGGAATAAGAGCTGGGATGGCAGCCCACAGTAGGAGGGTCTGGACTGAATTCACCAGTGAAGAGGAGGGATAACATTTTTGTGTGAGAAGGATGCTTGCCAAGAAATCGAGACGGGAAGTAACATGGGAGAAAGGAAGTAACTCATCAGTGTTTAGGACAGACAACAGCAGTTTCAGGATCTGGGTACACATCAGGRTCTTGGATGGATCTTTCTGTGCCTACATCACTGACAGAGAAAGAAAGCAGCAGGAGRAAGGCAGATGCCTTCATAAACTTACAAACACTGCCCGAACCTCAAAACCAGTTTCCTATCAATACAGGCTAACTAAATACCACTGCACCACTTCTAGAGAGAGAGAAAGAGACTGAGGTCACAGAAAACTTTTAAACATAGGACTAGTTTTCTGCCAGCAGGAGCCACGTAGGAGCAGAAACTTGTGAGTAAGGGCAAAGAGAAGGGCAGCAGCAGCCCCAGCTGCCATTTGTCTAGACCACTGGAGGACACCATGCCAGGACTTGAAGCTCTAAAGGAAGGCTGCTGAAAACCAAAGCCACTTGGCTTTGTATTTCCCAAAATCAAAATACRATTGTGTAGAAAGAAGTGAGCTACATCATTGCTTCAAAACTTACAATATTTGTTGAATAAGATGCTACAAAATGAAGAAAGAAAGAAAAAAAAGAAAGAAAACATGGGATGCAAGACTTGTTTTCCTTTGTTTTTAACCMACCATTTGAAAACACTGCAACATGACCAGCTCTGCAAAAATGTTTTCCTGACCACAGTATCTTGCATGCAGACAAACACAAGGATTATGCCAGTTCCTGGAAGAATTAGTGTCAGTAGCTTTTTTTAATACTGGAGCACGTCTGTTTGTATTGTTTTTCTCTCTTCCTATCTCCCTAATTTTGGGGATACATTTTTTGTTGTTTTTGATGTTTGTAGGCTCTTTGTTTAAACAAGGACAATAGGTTACTTTTCCTCCTAGTTGTTCATTTTTATTTGGCTATTTAGATTTTTCGCCTGTACAATAAAATTGCCCTTAACAATCTCTCTCCTGCTGTTTCAGCMTGAACAGCTTCTACTGAGTCTTCCTCATGCTACTGTTTTAAACATTTGCTTGTTTGTAGGTAGCTAATTGGTTATTTTCTCTGTTCAGAAAGAACCTTTTGAGGTCTGAGCTGTAAATTTTTTTAGTGAGAGCTCCTTTTTCTCCAGTGTGTATTTGAGAAATTCCCCCAGATAAGATGAAAGATGGGAATCTGACCTGCTTTCCTGGGTAATTTCTCAGGCACTGTTTTGTATTTTGGTGGTACTGAGTCAATCTAGCAATTGGGAATGTACTTATATGCCTGTGAAGTCGGTGAGATGTATTACTGTCTTGAAAATGGACAGGTGTCCCATGGAAGTGGGGGTTGGGACCACATGATCTTTCAGGTTCCCTCCAACCCAAACCATTATATAATTCTATAATAGCATAATTCCAGTGTGTCTTGCTGAAATTAATTCATATGTCATAATGTTTCAAGTGTATAATAATGAGAAAAAATCCCAGACTTCAGGAATTACAAAATCTGCACCAAAGAAAAGGAATGGATGACTAATGGGATACATGAAAGGCACAGAAATGTTTAAAGATGTGACAAAAATCCCAAAATAATTTATGAAAAGGTGAACCACAACATTGTCTGTGAAAGAACAGAGTAGGATGGTATAAAATCTTAAAAATTTATATCTCCTGTCAAATTGTCTAACTAATTCAAAGCTAATTTCAACAGAATGTCCTATGAATGCACACTGTAATTTTTCTGTATCAGGGAGTGTATCCCATTTGCTTTTTGAAATACTGCAGTGTATAATTCATTCTTGTGGAAGGGAAATGAGCAGCCAGGATCCTTGCAATATTCTGYACTGGTTGTCTGTAAACCTGCCGTGTTTTGTTTCTCTGCTAACTTCTCCTAAAAAAAACCCAAAACAACCAAACTTAATTAAATCACAAACATCTCTCTGATGAGCCTCTCCTTTGATCTCTCTCTTTTGATAATCTCTCTGCTGACAGGCTGTGATACTCCGCTAGCAGTACTTGGTCCTCTCCTCCATGAGGATGACAACTGCTCTGCTTCAGGCATTTCCTTGGCCTGGGAGATGAGATCTCTGGAAGAGGGCAAACATTTCTATCCAGACTGTTGGTGTGAGTGCAGGACTCCATGTGGAACTAATTAGTGTTATTATGAACACCACAACAGTTTATTGCCAGGAAGCATCTAATGACCTGGCAGTAATCTCACAATGACTAACCAAGATTTTCTTCACTTTAGCAATTTTACCTGATAAATTAATGCAAGGGGAAAAAAGGCAATATAAAACTGTAAGTAGAACAGAGGCTCTGATTTAAAATAGCAAATGGATGATGCTCTTCTCCTTTCCTGGGGTTATAGTGTGCAATTATTCTCCATAAATTCTAGAACCTTGCATATTAAGAGCAGAGTGGTTATGACTCCTTCATCGATTTCAGAGGACTAGCCTTAAGCTGATGAGCTTAACTTAAATTTGGCATTTGATGTGTGGGGTGCAACCCTACTGCTAACCTGAGGTTGACTATTTTAATCCAAATTGGGTGTGTATTACTGGGGTTGGGTAAAAAAAATGGAGTTACTGTTTYGCCATGACTTCTGCACAAGACAAGAAATTATTAAAAAAAAGAAAAAGTAGATGGATTCAGATGGTTCACAACCGGAGCAGTCCCCACCCTGTGCCTGGCCCAGCACATAGTGTGTAGGATAAGCACATGCACAGCCCCCAGCCCCTGGCAGGATGCTGTCGCTCACAGACTGCTTTTCTCACAACAGCAAATATTTACACTGCAGTACAAGAAAGATAAGGAGTTACARGAGGGGGTCCAGTGGAGGGACGCAAAGATTGTTAGGGGTCTGGAGTACCTCTCTTTTGAGGAGAGACTGAGCCTCAGAAAAGACAGAGAGGGCATCTCATTAATGCGTATAAGTGTCAAAGGTTGTAGCCAAGAGGATGGTGCCAGRCTCTTTTCAGTGGTGTCCAGTGACAGGACGAGGAGAAATGGCCATRAACTAAAGCACAAGAAGTTTCACCTCAACATGAGGAAGAACTTGTTACGCTGAGGGTGGCAGAGCGCTGGAACAGGCTGTCCAGGGAGGTCGTGGAACTCCCTGTGTGGAGACATTCAAAACCCACCCGGACACGTCCCCGTGTCACCTGCATCAGGTGACCATGCCTTGGCAGGGGGGTTGATCCAGATGTCTCCAGAGGTCCCTTCMRWCGCTAAGCATTGCACGCTGCCGGGCCCGGCGGCGGCGGGAGCGGGGGGCATGGCGAGGCGGGGCCGGGCGCATGTGACCGGCGGCGGGGGCGGCCCCGGCGGGCTGAGGCGCCTCAGCGGGGCAGTGCGGAGCGGAGCGCCGGGGATGCGGAGCGGCCGGGCCCCGGGCAGATGATGGCGATACGCGAGCTCAAAGTGTGTCTGCTTGGAGTGAGTAAGGGCGACCGGGGGGTCGCTTCTCCCTTTCCTTCCTTCCTCACCCACCCCGCATTTGGGGGCTGCGGGAGCCGGGCTCTCGGTTATCCGGGGGACGCTTCCAGCCTGGCTGTCTGTCCCGCTGTCCCGCCGCGTCTCCCGGTCCCGGGCGGGGCGGGGGGGCTCGGCCGCACTAAATTCCTCCACGCCGAAACTTGGCAGCCGCACACCGGCCGCCGCGGGGCGGGGGGAGGCTCTGGGGCTTGTTGTTTTTGTCTTGTTTCTCAACTTTCTCGAAGTGAGAAGGGCGTAGCGGGCTGGGGGCGGTGGTGAGTGGTTCTCCTCCGGGGGTCTCCCCCAGCGCTCCCAGGCGGGGGGGTCGCCGSCCCAAAGCCATCCCCGCCGGTGGCGGTGGCCCTGCGGAGAGTCTCTCTCCGGTGCCAAAACCCCGAAGGCACCCGGTGGGGATTGCTGCCCACGCTGGGGTTCGTCACAGGCGGCGGAGCCCCCGTTCTGGCMGTGGGGAGCGACACGGAGGAAAGAGCGGCGCTGCCACCCCGGGACGCTGGGGCGGGTGGCTCCTTCTCCCGGGGCTCGGTCCCGTCTCACCGATGTGCTGCTCCGTGCTTTGTTTAGTTACTTGGCTGGGTCTGTTCAGAATTTCTTTGACTCGGCTCGTTACAGGAACGTCCTTTTTGCCATTCCTTTTTTTTTTTTTCCTCTTTGGCTTTTTTTGGTGAACTCGCGCGTGCGTTTCACATCTGGAGCAACAATGTGCTGAGCTCTGCACTTTGGCTGCGCCTGCCCCTCTCTGCCCGGCACCCAGGGAGCTTCCCGGCAAAATGTTCCCACCAAGCTGGGACAAACACCGCCGCGGAGCAGAACTACCTCTCATGACAGTAACCAGTGGAGCATCACTACTCCAGTACTCAAGTTCTTTTCTAAAATCAAACGTCTCAAGTTACCCCGTGCTCATTAGGCTGCTTTTAGGCCGATATCTCCATAAGCACTCACAGAAATTGCATGAATGGAGGCGTTTTAGAGTGAATTTGCTTTCATGTCGTAAAAGTGAGTTGAACATTTGCAAACCAAACAAAAATAGACACTGCAGTTCTCTCTTATTTGTGTTGACACTTAGCCCAGCAGGAGTGGGTACCTTGCCCTGGAGTCATTCTTGCCAGGATGCGGTGCCAGGGCCTTGGAGAGTTCAACCCAAAGTATTTGGCTGTGACCATCCCTCCTTTCTTGGTTAGAATTCCTGCCTTCAACTTTTGAAATGGCATAGTGACAAAAATAAATGTGGTTTGTACAAACACGAGGAGTCTGTGGTAGAATATGTGGATGTGTCTTTGTTTATTTTCTTCCCCAGCAGAAAATGTAATTTTATAGAAATGAAGTGTCTTGTGGAATGAGATTCCTCATGTCCGTAATTTATTGATKTTTTGTAATATTAAAACTCACTGGGGGTTTCGTAAGGCAATTGTTTCCTTTTTTTTTAAGACAGGAAARGAAACCTATCATGCAGCTCTATGTTACTAAGAGTGTGCAATTACTCTGTAGATTCATTAAAATGATGGGGTGGCTGTGTAATGCTTAGGGAAACGTGTCTGTAGTTATAGTCACTTAGTAATTAGTGAGATGTTCCTTCCTAAGTTTTAACAGGGCATAGTCCTAGAAAACATTCTCCTTCTGATCACAGACATCTCATTTACCATGGGGATTGACACTCTTTTTTTCCAAAAGAGAGGAATCCTTCAGATGATGAATCCCCTCAAGAAGCTCAGACATTTCTAGAGCAGGGCAACTTTATACCTGTCTGTGTGAGCAAATCAGGCATTAATCTTCAGATCTACTTGAAAGGTAGATGGCAACTCAAAAATACATTCTCAGATCAACCAAAAGAAGTCTTGACAGTTGTTTTTTTCACTAGGTCCTGGACCTGGTAGGTTAATCTGCATTGTATGTAATAGGTGCCTTGATAATCAATCAAGTCTGGCAGTCCTAATCCCAAAACAAATCCTTATCCTTGTTAAAAATAGGGATTAAGTTGGTTTGTAAACCTATATCCCTCYCCTCTTTTGAACACAGCCCTAGGCTGCATCTCTGTATCAGGTGGGAGGATCACTGATAGTCTGTGGCCCCGAGCTGTGCAGAGGGCTTGGGTTGTTTCTGCCTGTTCAGAATTTTCCAGTGGGGAAAAATTGCAGCTGGTGGAACGTTTGCAAAGCCAGCTTCTCCACAAACTCTGAAGCTCCATTTGGCTATAGAGGGCCTAGATGGGAAGATGAAGGGGGATAGAGAARCCAGAGCTGTGGTCCACACTGCTAGCCCTACAGGCCAGTGCAGTAGTCCAGGGCCGGTGAGTGGTCTGAAGCTGTTGTCCTGGAGATGGGGTGTAGGTTTTTGGGTCCTGGATGTGACCCCACATTGCCAGGAGGGAGCCTGGCCTGTAGTTTCTAGCATTAACCTAACAAAGCGGGATTTGGGCATCTGCATTTCATTTCTTGCTCCTCCAGAGTATCTTGGGGTTTCTAAAACACTCTCTGGGTGTGATGGGAGTGATTTGGAGCAGCCGGGAATAGTGCACTACAAGATGATTTATGGGATTTGTAGCTGTTGAAAGAGACACCAGCAAGAGAAGGGCAGAGGATAAATTTGGGGCAGTGCAAGGCTGGGAGTGAGTCAGTTTGGAAGGAAGGCTTTGTTGATGGCAGAGCTCTTTGAGCAGGGATGGCTCCAGCTTTCTGGGGGGTTGGCAGGAGCAGGATGCCTGCCTGATTGTCCAGTGCCTCACAGCCTCAGGTGTAGGAGCCACAGAGCTGCAGTTGAGCAGYTCCCTTTAGTATGTTGCCATGCAAGTGTCTTCAAGCCTGCTCCTAAACTGCTTCTTCCAGTAAATTATTGCTGCTGGGCAGTGAAGTGTCTGCTGTAGAAGGTGTTCATCTTGCTGAATGCTTGAACTCTGCTCCAAGTCTTGTCTTGTCACCCCGGACTCTTCCTGGTCTCTCAGTTCAGTCTGTTCCCAGGAGTTGTCCCTGGAACAGTTGTTAGATGCCATGTGCTTCTGGGGCTCAGCAGGTTGTAGCTGCGGCTCAGTCTATGAGATGCAATGAAGTGCAGCTCTCATTTGACTTGCCTGGTGTTTCTTGTGGGCACCTTGTTGAGGGGATGGAACAGAGAGGAGTGTAGGGGAGCTGATGGGTTTCTGAGCCATGCTTTAGTGCTGAAATGTGGCTGGCTGTGCAGCTGCCAGRTTTCCTAATCTGTCTGTGGCTGCTGAGTGCCCTGTGCCTTAGCTCCCGACGTTTTCTTTATGTGGGCTGGAGGAGCAATTTACAGCTCGCTGCCAAATCCTGACATAATTATGTGTGGCAACCGCAGAAGAGATTGCCAGGTTTACGACTAAGGCAAAGTTTCTTGTCTTTGTCACTTCCTGAGGAAACTTTGACAACTCTTCAGACTTTGGGAGGTGACTCGCTAACTACCATSTAAAGCGACCTCCATTACTCCTTTCCTTTTGTTTTTTGTTTATTACATTTTTGTGTTGTGACTGTGCATCACAGGACCWAAGGAGGTAGGATTGGAAGAGGCTCAGGGGTCATCCCTTTTCCCTAAAGCCCTTCTTATTCCTGGCATATGTTTGTTTCCTCTGTCTTTGAAAACTCATGATCTTCTCCCTGAGATTGTGTCCCAGGGCTTAACTGCTCTTACTGAAGAAAGTTTTCCCTGAACATAATGCCTACATCTTTCTTATCTGAGACTTCATTTCTTCACCTTTCTATTTGTGCCTCCATTTTCTTGCTCATAAGAAGTCACTTGCTGGCCTGTGTTCTGCTAGCATGAAAATGCAGTCTGAAGCTGGTAAGCCTACATTTGTAAAAGGAGTGACATTTCCTCTGTGGAGGTTACGCTATGAGATTGAACACAGATGACTCRGAATCTTTTAGTTTGTGTCTAMAATGTTTGTCATCATTAATGCTTTTATGGCCTACATGTCCCAACACAAATAGGAGAGTGCTGTTAAAGCTAAACTGCAYCCCTGGCTGGGTTGTACCAGTTAAGGACCTCTCTTCTCTCCAGGCAAGGTGGCYTCCATGTGAAGGTGAGCATCCTGCTGAAGGCAGGAGCGCTACTCAATGCAGAAGCCATGTGAGCACCAGCAGCTGTGGTGTTGTAGCCTAAAACAGAGAGCAGAGCAAACAAAGGGGGTTGTGAAAAGAAGAAAAATATACTGATGAAGAAAATGTGTGCCTTCTATAATTTTGTCTTGTCTGAGAGAAGAACAGAGACTGGCAAGCAATTTTTTTCCCCTGTTAACAGTTCATCACCACCTACTCATTCATTCTTATTTTATTATGTGAACAAGTAGCTCTATCATGAGACAAATTTTTGAATCATGACCACATGGTTGTCTGTCTTTTGGAGTTACTTGTTTGAAGTGTCCATCGTTGCAGCCTTTCCAAAAAAGGAGCCCTTTGATCTGCATCTCTTGCCTAACCTGCAGTGTTTCTGCGTTGTAGTGAAACATCAAATCACAGGTAAAGCTGAGCAGTGATTTGAAGTCCATGGGGAACTGAAAGACAGACATATGGTTAGCTGGACTGCATCTAYCTAGTTTTCTTGGGAAATGTTTTTCCTGTTATTGTTCTTTGGTGAAGAATACTCTGAAATTTGCATTTAATGTGGGCACGCAGCACTTCYGTATTCCATTGCCCTGCTTTTCCAGTCAAAAGGATACTGAAGGAGACTAGGACTGGTGATTTTGCTTTTATTTTGTTTTTCAGTATTGTGTAAAAATCCAATTATGCACCAATTACGCAAGAAAGGCCTGTTCTCTTGTATCAATAAGAAAGTGTCCTCAGAAGCCTAAAGCATCCTTTTCATATTATTTTATAAAATATTTAAGTGGCTACAATTAGATTTTTTTGCAATATATGAATTAAATATGTAGGTAGACAATTTCTCAGAATTTAGAATTCAGGATTTCATATTGACCTTGGCCCTGTTGCTTTTCT